AAAAAGATTTTAACGACTTTAACTTTTTAACTTTTTGCGTTCTTTACGATAATAATTATTTATACGTCACGTTTAGCGAATCAAAAAGAAAATTTCATTGTATTCTATTCATCCTCTTTATTTTATTTTTTAAGGTATTTATACTATTTCACAGAATTGTAACTTTTTATTATTGCGAGATAATATTCGAAAGATATACCAACCTAATTGCATAGGCAACAAACTCGGCATAAAGGTGTTATGATCTCCATGATGAATAATATTATAAATATCCTTGCCAAGAACATCATCCTTCGTATAATTTATATACTGCGTTATGTTATCTGTTACATATTCCACTCGTCCTTCCGTATTTACAACAAACAAAAAGCCATCTAGCGCCTGGACAAAAATTTTCAATCAAATTAAATTGTAATACGAATATTATATATTTTTTTTTCTAATATTATTATTAGATATTAAAAAAAAATTTTAAATTTAATTATATCGATTCAAATTTAAGGATAATTAATTCCGATAAAATATTTATCGAAGCAAACTTCAATGGACTTTGTCTATTTGCTTTTAAATCGTCAATAAACAGAAATAAAAATGTTTCCTTCTGATTGTCGTATATGCATGAACGATGAACGCAAACAATAAAGATAAAATAGATTGATGGAATTCGATTTAAATTGAATTATACCTCAAGTAAAATAGGACCAACTTGATCGTTGGACAGTATGTTAGGATTCGAAGAAGATACTTCCCCCTGTTGCACGGCATGACTATTCGAGCCTTCCTGTTCCCTAATGTGCCGAATCTGTAAATAAAATAAAGTATATCGCATCATTAATCACAATCGAATTATTATATGTATAGGTTATTATTTATATATTATTCGAAATTATCTTTTTCGAATTCACTTCAATTTCAAATAAAATTTCTTTAATATTCTTTAATAAGTTTTCATATTACAATTTTATATTCTGTGTTACAACATACAGATGTAATAATAACAAAAAAATTATTTTCAATCGTTGTTCATTTTCCGTTTAATTCAATAATTACGCAATCACGAGCTTGTTTTCATCAAGTTATTAAATAATAACACAAAACTGCATTATTTTATTTGCCCACATCAAATCCTATTGCATATCGTATTTCATATTACATATTATGGCGCATGCATATTGTAATTTAATATAATGAATAATTTACAATGACCGCATTTTTCCATTCCTCGTATTAACATTAAAGATTATTCTTTCTTTAGATTGAAACGAAAGCAAATAGAATATTGCGTAAGACTTTCAAATGATAATACATATTATTATTTAAAACAATAAATGCAAGTTTTTCAATAAAAGAATATTAAAAAGCATATAAGCGAAAAATAGTCTTATATAACTTTCTTTTTTTTTTAATGCTTTTTGTGCAATTGTAATATATATCTATATTATCGTTTAATCATTTACATTTATATTAATAAATTTATAGAATAAACAAATAAATTCCATGCTTTCATATTTCAATTTTAGGATTGTTGGTTATAAATGAAAATTTACATATATATTAATTGCACAATATTAATTTAAAAATTGTAAAATGATAAAATTTTCTAAATAATCTGAATAAAACGGAAGAAAAAAAATAATACAATAAAATACAATACAATAAAAATACAATAAAAAGTGTTTCCTCGATACAAGAAATATAATTGATGTAATAAAGAAAAATAAACGAATTTATCGATTAAATGTATCGAATAATATTTTCAATGGAAAGTTTTTTAACTTTGCACACAAATTTCTGATTCGTATAAAAATTCTTAATTCTATCTCAATTATCGATATTACATTGGTAAATATTTAAGTTGATAATCCACATTCCTTCTCCTTATGCGAGAATTAAATACAACAAACGATTCTATCCTTGTCCTATTTCTATCAAAAATTTCAAATTAATTATAATGAAATGCAAACGTAATAAACACCTAATATTTTCCTTTATCGAAAGAAATTTGCAAATACTTGAATTTCATTTCTTTATATTTTGCGAGACGTTTAAACGAAATATTCGAATAAAACTAAAAATAACTTGGGATATTAATGAGAAAAAAAAAATAATTATAAGATAATTCAATGAAACGCTTTATCCAATGTTTTTATGCAGATAACTGAAAAATAAACTTGTTCAGACAAAATTATTCTTTATAGCAATCGGTAAATGCAAAATTATATTTTAATTTAGGAATAAAATAATGATTAAAATCTTCTAAAAATGATTCTTATTTTTATTTGTAAAATAATTTCGAAATAGAATAAAATTCTTAGAATAATAAAAATTAATTAGAATTATGTCATTTATATTCATATTTTTTTCTATTCTATTATATAAATATCGTAAATAATATAAAAATCAAAATTTACAAAAAAGAATATTACTCTCAAGAAAACCAATAAATGAATTAGAAATATTTTGTCACTTTCTCTTGCAATCTAGAAAATAAATGATAACATTTCCATATTCGGCTGTTAATCTAAAAATAGAAAATATATCCAGAATTTTTAAAAAGAATCGTTCGATAATAAATCTTACAACGGTGTGCAAAAACAGTTAACGGTTAAAAAAGAAAAAGCGTGAACTCCGCAACGCTGCCATTCAGAGTCGCAAGGTTAGCCATAAGTGGAACACGAACGAAGAGGGGAAAGTAAATCTCTGCGTTACCGACCGAGATTCGGGCACAAGCGTGCGGGAAAAGCTCGTCCTTGAGCTCATATTTTTCAGCACCGATAGATCGCGCTCGTAATCGAAATGAATTTAAACACACGAGCACACAACGTCCCGTGGCCTCGAAAAGTCGGTGACTCGGCGGCTGAGTCCGACAAACGGTTTGCGACGTTGCCGCTAGCCTTTGCTTTAGAACGTATATATTTCTCCCGTTCCATCACACGTCGCAGGCGATAAATTCTTTCTCGGTCGCTTTCAGAACTATCATATAGATATTCCTCTCTAATCAAGGATATCATCATAGACCAAAGTAGAAAATAGTTGAACAATACAGATGAAGCACAAAAATTAAGAAATCACGCAAATAAGAACTTGTATCAATAACCATAATAACCACATTAATGAATCTCAAATAAACTTTCAATGCTAAGATGAAAAATCACCTTCAACTTAATGATGGAAGGATCGAAGGGAGAAAGACTTTTATTGCAAATCTACAATTGATTCTACCTCGGTCACGTCGTTGGACACAGACGGATGCGCATGGCTCGACTGCGCAGATGACGTCACACGAACTCTTGCTCCGGTAGTTCGGGTTATAACGCCGTTTGGAAGGTTTCCTATTGGCCTCTGTGACGTCATTCAAGGTCACGTGACAAACTTTCAAGAAATACTTTTTTAACGATTCTTTGTCAATCTATGGAATAATTCATTTGCGAGGGTAATACGCCAAGTATGTTACGAAAAAAGGATTTATCCTCACCGAGGGTAGTGAATTTGCTTTCTAAAACGTAACAATAATATATCTCGTACAAGAAGAAAGCGAAAGAGCGAAATATTGCGATCCTGGTGCGAACAATCGACATGTGCTCGTTCGTGAACCGCAGAACTAACATGCTGAAGAATAGACGGGAAGTTCGAACCCCTTCCATGTCCGTCCTCCTTCTCTTTCTATAGTTATACAAGTAGATAGATACGCTGCTTGCAATTAAATTTCAATTCTCATTTTGTGTATTTTCAACAAATTCGATATACATCCAATTATTTTTACGATCCTTTTCTCATAATATAACACAGTTAATTCACAATGTTTTCACTTTTCTTCACGTGGCAACACATTTAACGTATTTCAATGCATGTATTATGTGGCTATTCTAACGTGTTTATTCTAAAAGTAATGACAGACAATAATAAAAATACGAATAATCTTTATACACTTTAGTCTCATACAAAGGAATCGATTGAAAGTTAAATTCAGCAATACGAATCTATTTCAAGCTACTAATGAAGCCTAGAAACGAGCAGCGTGTTATTGAACGAAGCGAGTGCACGTCTTGCTTCCGAAACAAACGATGCTACCAACATCGAGGAAAGTAAAGCATTACCGCGTAACCGCGACCTGGAAACACACAGAGACTGGAACGCGAATATCGATTAAGAATATCATAATGGTTGCCAACGTAACTAAAAATCCCAGAAAATTTATTCATTTCATGATAAATTCTGACTAAATAAAATTTGTCTAGTCAAATAATAAATAAAGGAAGCGAAGAAATATAATATCGCATGATTTGACGATTAGTTTCCTCAACTTCACAAGACTACTGTTCTCAGTTATCCCTTTCATCCTTATATTCCGATGTTTAATATGATATTTCAGTTAATAAATTACAATAGAATAAATAAAAAATATATTGTTTCTCTGTATTTTGAAATATTTAGGTATATATAAATTTGATTTTTTATATTTTTTTCATATCATATGAAAATATATATATATTTTATGCATAAATTTTTTTTTTATGTATTACATTATAATTCTACAAATATATATATATATAATTAAACATACATATTATATTTTTATTTATATCTCATATATAATTTTATTTATTTTATTGATATTGTTATTTTAAAATTTATAAAAGATGCGAACATGTAATATTCTCATTGACTTAGTTCTGTTCATTATGCCAT